CAGCCTTAGAGGAATTGCTGAGATTGCAGGTGTGCATGACTGTGCCTGACTTGGTTGTCTTCATTGGGTTTTGTTTGTTTTGTAGGGTCTTTCGTTATGTTTTTTGCCATGCTGGGGATGGAACCCTGGGCCCCATGCATGCTGGGCAAGCACATACCACTGAGCTACATTCCAAGCCCTCTTGATTGTTTTTTCTGCTTTTTCTGTTCGTAGCTCACTCCATTTCTCTCCTTTCTTCTAATCTGATCCCTCCACAAAACCACTGTTACTTTCTACATATCCTTTGAGAATATTATATTTCTTTGTGTGTAGAAGCACATTAAAAGGAAAACTTGGACAAAAAAAGTTTGCGCCAAAAAAAGAAAAAATCATAAATCCAGCAGTGCTCAAAATCAGAAGATTTTGCAGAAGATATTTAGAGAGCTTTGGAGCCAAACCCTGAAGCAGAGTAGAGAAGCTGCTTGATTGGCTCCTGCTAAGCCTTTACCTTTTTTGGGTATGGTATAATAGGAAGTCCCAAGTTATATAACTAACAGGCTGCTTGGCTGTGATTAGTTGAAGCGCCATTCAAAATCAGCTACAGAGAATGCTGTTAAGGAAATTTCAGTTCGCTTGTGTGTGAGTTATAGGTGAGAAACAACCCCAAGCTAATAGCCTCCAAGACAGCACATTAAAAAATATATTATTATTTGCTTTGAAAAGCAAACCTAGTGTAATCTCAGCTACTTGGAGATTGCAAGTTTGAACCCAACTTGGACAACTTAGCCAGATCCTATCTCAAAAATGAAAAGGGCTGGGCTGGCCTGGGCTGGGGATGTGGCTCAAGTGGTAGCACACTCGCCTGGCATACGCAAGACACTGAGTTCGATCCTCAACACCACATAAAGATAAAATAAAGATATTGTGTCTAGCTAAAACTAAAAAAATAAATATTAAAAAAAATGAAAAGGGCTGGAGATGCAGCTCAGTGGCAGAACACCCGTGGGTTCAATCCCCAGTGAAACAAAAATTAACCAAGAGAGCCCTTGTTCTTTATCAGAAGCGTGTATTCATTCATCCTGCAGATGTGCCCTCTCACTCAGGAGGGAACTGTTATTTCACGTATTATACACATCTTACTCTAATGTCATGTGACCTTATTTATGAGACATCTTTCCCATTTATCTTAGATCCTTTCTTGGGGTAAGGTCAGCTATAAATAAAAACGTTAGTTTTGAATAGTGCTTGCTAAATAACTGTACTTAATGGAAGTTGTTCATATTTCAGGTTGCTCTTCTATTGTTAGAAAAAGAAGTATTAGATAAAAATGATATGGTTGAACTTCTGGGCCCTAGACCATTTGCAGAAAAGTCTACATATGAAGAATTTGTGGAAGGCACTGGCAGCTTGGATGAAGACACTTCTCTTCCTGAGGGCCTGAAGGACTGGAACAAGGAGCGGGAAAAGGAGAAAGAGGAGCCCTCCGGCGAGAAAGTCGCCACCCAGATGCAAGGGTGGAGACCGTTTTAGTGTTAGTGTATGGGCCTGTGGGTTTTGATTTGCACATTGTTCCAGCACTGGCTTTCAGAAGAGTTACAGCACTGCTCAGTGGATACAGCCAGCTGCTGAGCCAGCAGCCAACCCAACTGGAAGTGTGGGTGGAGGGGCACCCCAGCCTCTCCTTAGAAGGTCGGGGAGATCACTGTGCCATGGCCTCTCTGCCTCCAGGCCAGTCCCTGGTACACCAACAGCAAGCCAGGCAGGAGCGGCAGGGATGGCATCTGTGGGATCTCCACAACGAGGGAAGAGGAGATTCTTCTCTTTTCGTCACCCATTCTTCATTCCTATTTCTCTTGAGTTTCTTTCTGCAGATGGACTGGTGAAATTAAATTGGAGTACTGATAAGATTTTGATTTGACTTAATATTTTGAAAACTTGATCGAGATCACTTGTTGCTTTTTAACAGAATGTTTTTTCTATAGAGAACTGTAACATATTTAAAAATGTGAATGTATTATATAAATATGGCTTCGTTACACCAAAAATAAAATGTAAACACTGTATTTTTTTCCTGAATGCACAAAGATCACTGTTTGTTTTGGTTACTTTTAGAAAACAGGACAAGAAATCAAATGTACTTATGTTTTAGAGGGTGATTCTTCACAATGTCTCACTGTCCTCGTCAGTTCCCACAGAGGTCAGTGTCTTCTGGATTTGTGTCCCAGGATGATACATGTTGGTTCCCAAAGTTGGTCTTTGAGAGGATGAATGATAAGCCCTGTTGGTCGGGGTCATCATGAACAGGTGTGGGTCACACATCTCAGTCTAGAAGTTGGTGTGGCTGGTCGTCTGTCCCTAACCACGCCTCGTTTTCAAAAAGGTGACAGTGGATCTTGACCCCCCAGGATGCCTCGGGAGTGGTCTGTTTAATAATTGCTACTTGCTATCAGAAAGCTTAAGTGTATGGTTCCAGAAAACTGCAAGTTTGCAAACCTAGATCAAAATTCTTACAGAAGATGGCATGAGGAAGACTTAACTGTCTTCAGATGCTGTTATTTGGACTTGTGAGGCACCAAACACTGGTGCATTTGTAAGTATTTCTTTTTTAGCTGCCTCCTTTAATGCTGTTCCAGCTTGCTTTGTGTGACATTGAAGCAGTGAGAACGGTGACTTTTCAATCTGGTGGCATCCCTATAGCAGCCCTACACTGGGGGTAGGCCACAGAAGCAGCCTTGTGTACTCCACAGACCCACATTACAAAATGGGAGCCTCCATACCTAGCTGGCTCTCTACCTGCACCTGTCGTGCCTGGTGACCTGCAAAAAGAATGGACTTTCCAGCTCCTTCCCTCCTTGTGTGCTTTTGAGAGGTAGCCAGGCTGTAAAGACCACTTGGGCACAAGGGTGGGGCTATTCCCCCGCCCAGCAGAACCACTGTAAAGAGAGGTACAAGGTTGACAGGCCTCAGCTGTGAGTCCTCCTGGTCTGGGCAGGCGAGTAGTACCCTATGAGTGAGGCTTGGCTCAGTAAGGAAAGTTACATTAGTCACATGGCATTTTTAGTGAGGGAAAGCATGCTAAGGCTCTGGGTCTTGGCCAGCCAGTGTGGCCTCCATGCAACATGTCAGCAACATGGGGTACGCTGGCAAGGAAATTGTCATACCTACTTGGCTAATGGCTCCCAGCATCTCCCCCCTTCTGATTAATTAAACAACAAGCAATGTGGCTTAAGGACCGTGCCTGGTAGGTTGTCCAATTCAACATATGGTTCTTACCCGTCATGGGAAAAACTGACCTTTAGGCGTCAGCCTCCTGTCTTAGGTTGATACCACTGCAATTGAATTGCACAGGTGAGCCTGACCCACTGTTGGGACTCACAGTCATCTTAATCTCCTTAGTCAAAGCAGCGTCTTCTAGGATAGATGTGAGTGGTGAGGTGGTAGATTACTGTTGTCTATTGTCTCACAAGAGATTAGATTTCTGCAGATGAGAACTGCACACCTTGGGTCACACTGCTGTGTTCAGTGATTAACTTTCTATCTGCCCATGGCTGGGGCATAACAAAGCAAAGTTACTGAAGGACTGGGGTCTCGGAGCATGGGCGTTCTGGTTAAGCTGGGGGTAATGCTGGCTTTCAGTTCCAAATAATGCTCATTCTGTCAAAGTGCAGAGGATATCTGCTCAACATGGTTACTCAGGGACTAGATGAATGAGTAGGAAGGGAGAGCCAGCAGGTGGGCACCGGCTTGAATGTTTTCACCTGGGAGTGACACCATGCTCACTAGGTCTGAAGCAAAGCCACACGCAGTCGCTGCTAACCTCAGGAGGGTCAAAAGGATTAAACCAGAAGTACTAGTGAACAGCAAGGTCTACCAATTATCAGTAAAGCTCACCTGTCAAGTCCTATGGCATTTGCCTCTTTTTCAGAGAATGAATGCAGGAGTGCTCTACCACTGAACCACATCCTAGCCCTATTTATTTTGAGACAGGGTTTCACCAAGTTGCTATGACTGGCTTTGAATTTGTGATCCTCCTACTTCTACCGCTGAGCCACTGGGATTACAGGTGTGCATCACCACACCCAGCTGGATTTGGCTTTAAGACTTTCCACAGAAATTGTGGAAACCAAGAAGTGGGGAAAGCCCCTCCCTCTCCAAGCTGGGCCTGGTTCCAGCCCCCAACCCCCAGCCTCAATGCTGGTGGAAGAACACATGGCAGCTCTGAGGAGCTGAGTGCTTCCACTTGCTGGTGGGCTTTTCTGGCAAGAAGGCTGGGAGCCTGCAGCCCAGAACCTGACAGCTGAGATGAAAGATTCTGTAATGGGGACTGTAAACAGCCAAGAAGCTGGGAGCGTGGTCATTGGTAGAGGGCTTGCCCCAAGGGCAAGGCTCTGGGTTCCATCCCCAGCGCTGCAGAAACAAACGGGCAGAAGGGCTTTCCTTTATGTCTGCACTACTTCCAAGCTCAGGAACAATGTGATTGCCACCCTTTGAAGCCTCCAGTTTTAAAAAGGCCCCAGTTCCTTCAGTGAGCTGGGTGCAGTGCACCCCAGGGAAGGACCAGTGGCCCACCTTGCCATTGTAACCATGCAAAGTAACTTTCTGTTGCACAGGGTTGGATGCCACAACAGAATAGGTTTTATTATGACTAGATTTGTTTCAAAGTTCCATACTGTATATTCAAACAAGGCAACACTGCAAGCTCCAATGTTCATCAGGAAGGATGAAAACACCCTGTTTCTAAGCCCCTTGCTATTTCTCACAGATGTCTGAATGCATACTGGCAGGTGGGGTTTTTTTTCCATTAGCCCTTCATGGCTCCCTAGTTGTTTCTCTCAAATGCTCCAGTACAGAATCTCACTAGGCTGACTGGAAAGGGTAGGACCGCCTATTCTCTGCTATTGTAAAATATGGACTTTATTCCAGCTGACCTCTCAGCTCTGCACTTGCCAGGGACCTACCCCATGTATCTAGAGACCAGTGCACCTCTCCACAACCATCAGGTAAAAGGAAGAATATGCGCATTTCACATTGGTTGGGGACAGGGCAGCGCCTTTATTCATTGATCTCCTCTTCCTCATCTTCAAAAGCTTCCTCTCCATCGTTTACAGTGGCATCCTGGTACTGCTGGTATTCGGACACCAAGTCGTTCATGTTGCTCTCGGCCTCGGTGAACTCCATCTCGTCCATGCCCTCACCGGTGAACCAATGCAGGAAGGCCTTGCGGCGGAACATGGCTGAGAACTGCTCCGAGATGCGCTTGAACAGCTCCTGGATGGCTGTGCTGTTGCCAATAAAGGTTGAGGCCATCTTCAGGCCACGCGGCGGAATGTCGCACACGGCCACCTTGACGTTGTTGGGGATCCACTCCACAAAGTAGCTGCTGTTCTTGTTCTGGATGGCCAGCATCTGCTCATCCACCTCCTTCATGGACATGGGGCCACGGAAGACGGTGGCCACGGTCAAATAGCGGCCATGGCGTGGGTCACAGGCAGCCATCATGTTCTTGGCGTCGAACATCTGCTGAGTGAGCTCGGGCACTGTCAGCGCGCGGTACTGCTGGCTGCCCCGGGCGGTCAGTGGCGCGAAGCCCGGCATGAAGAAGTGCAGGCGCGGGAAGGGCACCATGTTCACGGCCAGCTTCCGCAGGTCGGCGTTGAGCTGACCGGGGAAGCGCAGCGAGGTGGTGACCCCGCTCATGGTGGCTGACACCAGGTGGTTAAGGTCCCCGTAGGTGGGAGTGGTCAGCTTGAGGGTGCGGAAGCAGATGTCGTAGAGCGCCTCGTTGTCGATGCAGTAGGTCTCGTCCGTGTTCTCCACCAGCTGGTGCACCGACAGCGTGGCGTTGTAGGGCTCCACCACCGTGTCAGATACCTTGGGCGAGGGCATGACGCTGAAGGTGTTCATGATGCGGTCGGGGTACTCCTCGCGGATCTTGCTGATGAGCAGCGTGCCCATGCCCGAGCCCGTGCCGCCGCCCAGCGAGTGGGTCAGCTGGAAGCCCTGCAGACAGTCGCAGTGCTCACACTCCTTGCGCACCACATCCAGGACCGAGTCCACCAGCTCTGCGCCCTCGGTGTAGTGGCCCTTGGCCCAGTTGTTGCCGGCGCCCGTCTGTCCTGCAAGAGAGCAACAGAGACCCGTGTGTTTCAAGGGGCGGCTGGGAAGGAACTCTCCTCGGGGTTAACGCTCTTTAAATGGCCATGGAAAAGGTGTGTGAAATGGTTACAAAACGCAGTGCGGGCCCAAGTCAGAGGGATGAGGAAACAGGCTCCACCAACCGCTGGCTGGCATATAAATTTCCTTTTTTATTTATTTTTTGCGGTGCTGGGATCAAACTCAGCGCCTTATCACATGCTAAGCGAGCCTTTACCACTGAGCCACATCCCCGGCCCTAAGTTAGTACTTTCTATTGATTGACTGAGTGATTCATTGTGTGTTAGCAGGGAGGGTACTGGGTATTGAACTCAGGGGCACTCAGCCACTGAGCCTCATCCCCAGCCCTATTTTTTTATTTACAGACAGGGTCTCACTGAGAGCTTAGTGCCTTGCTTTTGCTGAGGCTGGCTTTGAACTTGTGATCCTCCTGTCTCAGCCTCCGGAGCCACTGGAATAACAGGCATGCACCATCACACCCAGCTCCTAAATTAATACTTTATAGACAAGTCAAAATATTTCACAAGGGCTGAGGGTGTAGCTCAGTGATGGAGTGCACACCTCTGGGCTGTAGATTCAGACAGGCACGGTTACGATGCCTATAATCCTAGCTACTCCCCAGCACCTAAATAAAAATTTAAAGATACTTAAGATGTATGTCCATCTTGATGTGGTAATTTCATTTGTGTGTGTGTATGTGCTCATGGCACACAGTACTTAGCACTGAACCCAAGGGCTTGCTTATTGTAGGCAAGCACTCCACCACTGAGCTACATCTCCAGCCCTTTTTATTTTTTATCTTCAGACAGGGTCTCACTAAATTGCTGAGGCTGGCCTCAAATGTGGGATCCTCCTGCCTTAGCCTCCCAAGCTGCTGGGATTACAAATGTGTATCACCATGCCCACTGAAAACTCATTTTTAGACTCATGATTACAAGGTGTTAAAAATGGGGTTGTGGCTCTGTGGTAGAGTGCTTGTCTAGCATGCACAAGGCACTGGGGGTTGATCCTCAGCACCACATAAATGTAAAATAAAGATATTGTATCTACCTAAACCTAAGAATAAATATTTTTTAAAAATGATATCTATATTTTTTAATTAGTTCATTTACCCAATGGTGAATATTAAATATTGCCAAAATGGGACAAGGCAATTCTATTTCTTTCTGTACATATATAATAAACACTGAAAAAATCTCATCCACCTATGTATGTAAATGGAAATTAATTATGTTATACAGTATCATTGGGTTCTTTGAGTTTATTCTGAGTTACATGCAAATCTATCAAAGTATTGTAAACTGCAATACCTATAATCCCAGTTGCGTAGGAATCTGAGACAAGAGGTTTTGCAAGTTCGAGGCCAGCCTCAGAATTTACGAGGTACTAAACAGAGACCCTGTTCAAAATAAAAAATAAAAAGGACTGGGGATGTAGCTCAGAGGTAAAGCACCCTAGTTCAATCCCCAGTACAAAAAAAAAAAAAGTATTTTAATCGTCTGTCAATCAACAATTCACATTGTGGAAAGCAGAATTGGAAACAACCCCATCACAAAATAATGTGTCATATGTTATACATATTTCACATCAGTCATTCCTTTCTTGTTTCTGAAGGAATAACAAAAAGGCTTACCAGACTTACTAAATGTGTGCCCACTCTTTCATTTTAAGGCAGTTTGTTTATCTCAGTATACTTCAAAAGAATTGGAGAAATAGATATTAATGCTAATACAAATTTGTCAGTTTAATTTTTTTTTCTTTTGTCGTGCTGGGGATTGAACCCAGGGCCTTGTGCATGCAAGGCAAGCACCTTACCAACTGAGCTATATCCCCAGTCCATCAGTTTAATTTTTAATGAAATATTTTAAATCTGTTTTCATCAAATTCTTCAGGTTGTACATTTATCTTGCTCAAGTTGTATACATACTTGTATAGGATTACACAGACCTTTACCCATTCACTGGGTTTTGTTCTTGTGGTACTGGGGTTGAACCCAGAGGTACTCTACCACAGAGCTACAGCCCCTTATTTATTGATTGATTATTATTTAGAGACAGGGCCTCACTAGATTACTGAGTCTGGCCTTGAACTTATCATCCACCTGAGTCAGCCTCTGGCGTGGCTTGGATAACAGGCCTGGGCCACTACCCAGGCTCCCCAGGTACTCGGAAGGTGATCTGACTATTCCAGTGGGTAGTCACAGTGTGCGGCTGCCCTCAGAGCTCAGCCTCTCTTCTCCAGGGGCAAGTCCACCCCTGAGGCCACCCATGCCCAGGAGAGTCCTGTGCAGGAAGGCAGGACTCCACCAAGCACCTCTGAGCGCCCACTGCCACATCAGATGAGAGGTGCCCCCTCCCTGTCCACCTTTGACCAGCCGATGTGAGGCTCCTGGCCACGGGGTCTGCTGCGGTCCCTAGCAGGCTCAACAGGTTCAGCCTTATCAATGGTCCTGCTCTGGTGGCCCTGCTTCACTGGATACCACGTGTATCCAGTGAAGTCGGCCAAGCAAGAAAAGCAACCAAAATCCTATGTGAGTTTAAAACGTATTGACCTATCAGTGACTCACGTCACATAGGAAGGGGCAACTTCCTTAAATATATAAAGAGTTCCACAAATCAGTAAGGAAGTCCACAGCAGCCACTAGAAAAATGGGCAAAGGATACAACCAGGCAGTGGACACAAAAAGGGAAATTAAAATAGCTTAAATATTTGAAAGAGTGGTCAGCCTTTTTCATAAGACAATTACAAATTAAAACAAAGACACTCTATTTTTCCCTATAAAATTGACAGAGATCAAAAAGCTGGATAGTATTGGTGAGAGTTTGGGGAGAGGCCTGGTCATCCAGAACTTCTGGAGGTATCAAGAGACATGGCCCTTAGGGAGAAGGACTGAGTGCAGCTATCAAAATCAGTGCCTAGCCAGGCATGACGGCACATGCCTGTAACCAGGGACTCAGGAGGCTGAAACAGGAGGATCGAAAGTTCAAGGCTAGCCTCAGCAACTTAGACCCTGTTTCAAAAATAAAAGTGGGGTGGCTGTGTGTGCTGGGGACTTAGCTAGTAGTAAAGCACTCCTGAGTTAAATTCCCAGTACTAAAAAAATAAAATAAAAAATAAGAAAATCCCTAGATTCAGTCATTATACTTCAGTGATTCTAGATATATAAACCTGTATATGAGGAAAATGAAATATATACAAATATTGACTGAGAAGTACTTTGTAACAGTAAAGAAAAAAGGAAACAATTCAAAATCTATTACCAGAGGTCTGGTTAAATCTCTGCCAGGCTGGGTGTGGTGGCACATGCTATAATCTCAGCAACATGGGAGGCTGAGTCAGGAGGATCACAAGTTCAAGACCAGTCTCAGCAATTTAGGGAGACCCTGAGCAACTTAATGAGACCCTGTTTCAAAACAAAAAATAAAATGGGCTGGGGAATGTGGCTCAGTTGTTAAGTGCCCCTGGGTTCAATCCCTGGAACCAAAAAGAAAAAGAAAATCCATGCCAGTATCTATACAGAGGAACACTAATGGCCACATCAGGAACGAGGATCTAGCTCTGAAATGGAAAGATTTTCAAATATGTTGCTGGGAGTGGGAACAAGTTACTAAACTGCTTGATGCTGGCTACCACAGTGCGTATCTGCACAAAAATACAACTGAAAGAATGCAGGAGATCTTCTGAGAGGCAACAGGGACCAGCTTGGGGAAGAAAGGAAATCAACCTTTTACTACTCACTCTGCTTTTCCTTTTGAATCATGTACCACAGAAATGCTGTACCCTGAGCCAGCAAAAGCTCTGAAAGACCAGGCTGTCACTGAAGGATGGGGCCATTGCGGGGGAGGCAGTTTCAACAATATTGGTTGCTTAGAACATTTCAACTACACAAAACGTATTTTGTGATAATCAAGAGAAATTAAAATATGAAAACATGCCTTTAAGGAAATTATGTTAAAAAGCCTTCAATAAACAGGGAAATGCTAAATGACCTGTACACAGGAAAGGTTCAGGGACTGTCGTAAAGGATGCCCCACGTATGTGATTGAACTTTTCACAAGGCTGTATCAGAGACTGCACAGCTGCATCATTTTCCAAAAGCAGAATCAACTGTGTGTGAGTGTGCATCCAAGTGCACACAGAGAACCCCAACCTTCCTCAGAAATAAGATCCCAGGGCACAGGTAGGAGAGGGGATTCCATTTCTACACCACATACTGTGTCTTGTTTGAAAAAAGCATGTGTGAGCCCTTTGCCTTCATCTGGTGGTGAAGACACATTTCCATATTAAGGGAAGTTTCCTGAGAGCAGAATTGGCTGGCTGAAGCTGCACAGCAGGCCTCCCAGGTCTCTGAGCCAGCCCCACTCCTGTCGCCCAGCTGGGCACAGCAGGCCTGTGGCTCAGAGCACTCCACCTGCATCATACCAGCCCTCTCAGGTGGCTGCCCCCTTGTTCTGTCATCACAGTCCCCAGCCTGTTCTCTCAGGAACCGGGACAGTCTCTCTCTTCCACTCGGCCATGCTGGCTGGCTGCCTTCTGGTAACAGACTCAGTCCTGTCCCTTCTGAGCCTCAATCAATTCCTGTCTCCTTCCCTCCCCACCCAGCCCAGCAGGCAGCACCTGACCAGATCGTACCATGGGCCTTGGGAAGAATAAATCAGGGCTAGCCTTATACTCTGGGAGAGCCTTACCTTAGGACTAGCCTCTTATTTGGTGTTAACCTTGAACTTGGGGCTAGCCTTGTACTCAGAGCTCAATGCAGAACTATCACATCTTTACAAAAGAATTGCTGAGTGCAATTGTCAATAGAGCCTCATTAAAATAGCAGAAACCAACAACTGAAAATGGAGGCGGCTATTCGGACATTTTTGTCTGATTTCAAGTATCCAGCAACTCTGGGCTTGACCCTTCCTCTTCCTCCAGCTCCCACCAGCTACTGGGTTTCCTCTACATTCACATGATTGTC